TACTTGATTAAATTTTGTTTATCAGTATATGAAACTTTGGACAATTAAAAGAAAAAAATTGAATTTGATTGTGCTATTTAAAAAAAATAAACTTAAACTAAGTAAAAAGAAATGTCGATCGTAGAATTATTCACGTCTATTGTAGGAGCTGTTGCAGTTTTTATTTTGGCGCTGTTTGCTGTTGTTTGTTATTTTATTTGTTTTGTTATTTGTATCATTGTAAATAATATTACTTATTTATATAACAATAAGGTTGGTTTTCTGTATCTTTTGTTATTTTGTTATGTATCAATGAAAGATGCTATAAATGTTGGTATTTGCAATGGCAACGCAATTACAACTGTTATGTTTTTCGTTGGGACACTTATTTTCCTCACTGTCCCAATTATTCTTTTTGCCTCTTCAGCAAGAATTTTGAAACATAAAATGACAAAAGAAATTATAGAAAGCAACTTGAGAATATCATTTGTGTCTTCATTAGCTATGGCTGTGTGCATTTTCACACCAAAGTTGTTGAAGTTAATTACGTTTAAAAATCATGGAGATCTTGGAGATTATATGCTCTTCCTTTTTTGCTCAGTGGCAACTTGCGCCAATTTTGCAGTCACAGCGTTTTTCTATGCCATGACATATTTCTATTAAATATGTTCTTGGTTTAATTAACATTTTTATGGTTGAATTAAATAAAAATATATAATAAGGAGTCGCTGCCGAATTCAAACCTTTATTTTGTGCAAAAAATATAAATAAAGACCATAATTATGCGATGAATAAGATTTAAACCCAAACCCAACACGTATACAATTGTTAATATTGTTAATTTTTATACAACTAATACAAACAATTTTACACCTAAAAACTATATTATATAATTATGTTTACTATTAAGAAACAATTAAAAAGACAACAAGAAATATTTTTAACTTGTAAAAAAATCAATCATTTTTTGGTTTTTTAAAAATCTTTGATTTGTTTTTTTTTCTTGTTTTTGTTTTTTGCGTTACATTAACAACGATTCATTGACATTTTTTGACGTTTTAAATTTTTCTTCACTGCACACGCAATAACCAGAGGGTCTTTTACTTCGTCAACTACATATCCCGTTTTGTCTTCTCGTAATTTGCCAATTGCTTCCACAAAACCAAAGACTTTTTTGAACACGGTTTTTCTTCTCAAATTACTGGTTAAATCAAACAACTTTTTGACATCATTTTCATTCAAAGCGTTATTATCAAACACGACTTTGACTTCATTAATAGTAACCATGTTTTCCACAATTAAACATCGTTCTACAAAATCATCTGGAGTAAAAAGTGGTGCAGAACAATAACCATTCACGATTACTTGTGTTTTACTCCTGATGTTTATGTAGTATCCAAGTTGACAACGCGGGTCAACAAACATATCACCTCCTCTTTTTCTGAAGTATTTCATATGACAGTGGGGAAACCCCGTTTTAAAATACATTTCACACTCACAATTACATTTATTACCCAATGAACATTTTCTCATACAAACAAACGTAGTAAAGCTGTCCAAAAGTAAATCAACTGTTTTTGAAGTAAGTTTGGGTATCACATCAATTAGGACTAGCAGTTTAAAAGCATTCATTTGTTTTTTAGAAAGTGTATTTTTGTTAGTTTGGAGTTGGTGTGTGTACAATACAAAAGCCTTTGCCGCTTTCAATAGTGTTGGAATTCGACCAAATATTGGTGCTTTTGCATAAGAAAAAACCCTTCTATTAAATTTGATGTTGAATACAGCGCTTAACATACTTGAGAAGGCATAAAAGTGTGTTTTATATCAACTAGTGTTTTAAGAACTTTAAACTTCTTGGATTGATTAACCTTAAAAAGGAGGAACTGGAAAAAATAATAAAAATTATAAGATTTGAATTTACTTTTACTTTCTTTAATTATGAAAAAAAAACAGATGTTGATTAAACATAATTAACATAAAATTTAACTATTTAATGTTAATTATATTTTATCAATAATATAATATAATAATTTTTGACAAAAAATCAATTATAACCAAACTAACTAACAAACCCAAATTGATAAGATTAATAAAGGATTCCGACTTTAATAAAGAACACGTCTTTGAACACTCAGAATGATAATTATAAAACACTTGTCTTTACAATGAAGCTGATTGTTTGCTAAAATAAAGGATTTGATGTTTGGTGTTGTTATGAACACTTCCGCGCAATATGTATCAATTGTAAAGAAAAAATTAAGTATGGTTTTGATTATTTGTTGATTTTATTTTTTTTGTATAAAAAGAAATAATAAATAGTATTTTCCAGTTGGTCCAAATGGGAGGGGATAGAAAATAAGTGGATTTTAATCAGTGTTCTAACAGGGTCGGCCAAGATCCAGTTTTTAAACAACTTCGTGGCAATCTCTAATACGTGTCAGTTTATTTTAAGTTTTAGGATAGTGTCAACAAAAAACTTAAAAAGTTTTTTAGAGTAAAAATGTTTTTAAAAATTGGTAAAACTATAGTTAACGATTTTAACAAAATTTTTATATTGTTTAAATCATCATTACAATGTGTTATAATCATAGTCCGGCAAATAGAATTTCATTTTATTTTTTACATAGAAAGTCCATAACTTGCGGCAAATTAAGCGAAAAAAATACCAATTTTTTGTTTTTTGTTTTGTTAGTTACTCAAAATGTAATTCAGAAAAATCTTTAAAACCTATTTTGGGTTTTTATTAAAACATTTGTGTTATTTTTAACATTATTTAAAAAAACCAATATTTTATTATAAATTTACAATTAAAAATTACTATAAATTAACATGAAAAAACAAAACTCATATGAGATTATAAACGTCCGTTATAAACAAAATGAATTTTATTATCTGTTAAAATTTATAGTAAATTTTAAAATAATACTTTTATATAATATTATAGTTATTGAAAATGTATAAATATAATAATAATAATAAATAATATTGATTTATATCAAAATAGATATAAACGTCCGTTATAAACATAATAAATTTTGTTTGTTTGTTTGTTTGTTTGTTTAATTTTAATATTATTATAAATACTAATATATATATATATACTAATAATAAAATAATAAAATAATAAAATAATAAAATAATAACAATAATATTATTGTTTTATTGTTATTATTTTAATAATAACAATAAAAATAACAAACATAAAATAATAACTAAATAACAATAAAAATAACAAACAAAAAAAACTAAATAACAATAATAACAATAAAAAATAATAAATAAATAATAAATAATAAATAAATACAATAATAACAATAAAAATAACAACAATAACAACAATAACAACAATAAAAATTGAAAATAAATTAAAAAAATAAGAACAATAAAACAAAAAAGATGAATGTACGTTTTAGTAATAACAAATGGTTTTGGAACAACATGGACATGGGATTTATTAAAGCAGAAAGGGGAGACGATAATTATTATTATTGTGTTATTTGCGAAAAGTGGCTAACGCGTGGAGTAAAAAACAATCACAAATGCCACAACTCTACTGTCTTTGTGTACAATAAAGAAGAGGTTTTAGAATTTATAAACCCTTCTAATAAACATCCAACACTTACAATCAACAACAAAATTATCAAACGAGACGATATATCACAAGAACTGCTTCAGAAAAGCGATCCAATTCACAGAGATCGAGTCAATCTTTCAAATTTGCCAACGAACAATTATCTGGTGAACACTGATTGTTTGACCAATTTAAACACGTCATCACATATCGAAAATATTCCAATGTTACAAATTACAAACACAACATTGCGTCCACTCACTTTTCCACACACAGAAACTTTACTGTCAGACAATCCAACAGTTTCATCATTCGGAATTACAACTTCAGTAAGTGATATTGTACCAATTAATTTGAATTACACGACTTCTGCGTTCAAATCTAGTTCTACCACATTTTCAATTATTCCATCAGTATTTAGTCTGCCTCAAAATACACATAAAAATATGAATGACACAATACAAAGAAACACACAACATGAAGAAATTTGTCATCAGATTACATCAACAAGAGAAATTCATCTCCAAAATCAAGAACATTTCTCAAATGCAATTTCTTTACAAACACAAAATTTATTAAATGATTCCTCAACAGTTGAACACCAAAATGAAATGGAGTCTGAAGATTTAACATGTGAAGTGTCAGAACTTGAAAACTTTGTTGAGGAACTGTTCAATTTCAACGACGGTGTTTTTGCGTTATACACTGTAACTCCATTTAGTGATTACGATGACGAGGAAATTTCGAGACAGTTAATTCATTTTTGTAAAGCTCCAATTGGAATCGATTTAATTAAATTTAAAGGAGCTTGTGACATACTGTTTTCAGATTCATCAAAGGACGAAAAAGTTACAACACAACAACAACGAAAAAAAGTTTTGACTCATAAACGTAAAGTTGTTCAAAACATCATAAATCATTTGACAACCAAATACAAATTTTCTGATACGTGTTGTTCAATTTTGAAACAATCGTTAGTGATTTCTTCATCTCAATTGACTCCAGAAGCAGTTGATATATATAAAAAACTCGCAGTTAGTTTTAGAAGTGCGCGTCGTCGACTGAAGAGTGAAAACAGTATCACATCGACACAACTTATTAACGATGTTAGAAATTGTGTATGTTTTGCCATAGCAACTGATACGTATAAAAAGGATGGTATAACATTTGTCGCAATTTTTATTCGTGTGTGCATGAAATTTGATTTTTATGAGTGTCCCCTTTTGTTGTCAGAGTATTACGGAGAAAGTGATGGTGAATCAATGTGTGAATGGATATTCAATGCACTTGCTTTCGATATCAATAAAGAAGTGTTATTCCCATTGCGCAAATTTATTGGCAGCACACAAGATGGTGCATCGGCAAATATGGGTTGTGATAACGGCATGATTAAACATATGCAAATGAAACTAGTTCCTATAAAAAATCCAGAAGGTAATATAATCGAAAGAAAGTTTTATGGAGTACACTGCCCCGCTCATAGATGCAACTTGTTTGCACAAGATGTAGGAATGGAAGCACCATTTGATATAGTGACAACATTTATTAAATGGTTGTGTAATTCAACGAAGCTAAAAGAATACTACACTTTTTGCAATTCCAACAACATAAAGAAATGTAAATTGTCCACTTACTCTGCAACAAGGTGGAATTATATGGCAAATTCTTCGTCTGCAATTTTGAAAAGCGAATCTTTAATTGAGCAATTTGTCCAAGACGAAGAACAACAGGCAGATGTATTTGGTGAAATGGTCGAAAAACAAATTAAAGAATTTGACGTTGAAATGCAAGATTATATCGAAATATTTTCTTTGAACAACTCCTATATACATTTTAGTGTGTGTTTGTTCAATGATATTTACACACTTGTAAACGAGTTGTGCATTGAATCACAAACACGGCTTTGTATACTTCCAGACCTTATAGAAACAACAAAATGTTTTGGAGTTTACATTGATGTTATAATCAAATCAGTCAAAGAATCAATTGAAAATAAAACAGAACTT